ATGTTGTTTTGGGCTTTTCTGTGACTTTAGCTAAGTGTGATATAGTTTAACCTTAGTTTGAGCAATTTCAGGGTTAACCTTTTAAGTATGATTTTATTATTTGTAAAGGTATGGGGAATGTTCTTCTATGCATTTTTCTCTTTTGATCCATATTTGGATAAGTAAGCAGTACTACATTTGAGTGGTCAAGACCATATATTTCAGACATTATGAACTCTCATACAAGTTATATTAGCATGCTGGAATGATGTTACAGTCTATTCATTCTAACATTTCATCATACTAGAGTTCTGCAGATTACCTATAGTATTTTCAACCACTACATTGTTAGTAATGTTACTGTATTTTAATTACTAATACAATCAAGTTCTGCGTGTCTGCCAGTGGAGGTACTGACAGACTCTCTGTTATGACCCGAGGGTACCTCCAGATGATGTGAAATATGTTAAAGGTAATGTAAGGTGAACCTCACATTACAGAGGTGACAGGCCTTATGGGGGCAGCAGTGTGAGCGATAATGTGTTTGGGTAGAAAGAGAAGTACGAGAATGGCCAGTTATGTGAAACTTGCCTTCTGAAAACAGAGCCCCCTGCTGACATGTGAAACCTGAAGTGCTGATTGAATTTGGTCATAATCACTAACATACATGCACGTACAGAAAAGCAACAGTCAATCTGGCTCTTCACAGTTACTAGAAACTTTCTCACACACACAGGTTCGCCCGTGTTGTGCTCAGGATGCATTTTGCGTGCGATTGGACCAAAAGCCTCCTTGATAAAACCTGCACAGACGTCTGGGATTTTTGGCTGTTACCATGGAAAATCCTGTAGGCCGTACCACAGGAGCTTTTTTCTTTCCAGCCCTGGATTTGTGCCCAGATGTGCTCCACCTGACGGCTGTTCCTTCTACTCAGCATCCAGAAGGACCACGCCACGAGACCCAGACTGGAGCACAAACACAGGCCGGACAGTAACGTTTGGCAGGTGTACATAGAAAGAGAAAGTGTGGGAAAGACAGGTTCATTTTGGACTGACATGAACTGCATTTGAAAGCAGGGGTGTGTGTTACAGGTAGGGAAAAAGTGTTGAAGAAACCAAAGAGCTTGCTGTTGTGGGTATAAGGAGGTAAACCCAGACACAAACATAAACACTGGCGAGCACTTCAATAAGCCCTCTCTCTGGCTCGCTGCTACACAACTGCCCCTATTTATCCAAACATAAACAAGTGTAAGACTGAAGAATCAGACAGGCCTCAAACGTCTCAGAGAAACTACAGCATCAAGAAAGCTAAGAAATAGGCAAGTAATGGTGGATGTTGCTGTTTCACTCAGTGTGAAAAGATCAAACGGACTGGAGCATTTGGCAAAGTTTGATTCTGTGTCAACACTGAAGTCATATTGACTGTAAACTGAATGTCCATAGAAAAATGTCATCCTTTCATCATCTCTCTGACAGTCTCTCTAAAGGCAAAGACTTTAAATAGACAAAACGAAACAGCTTCAAATTTCACTTCGTACCAGAGCGACACATTAACGCTCACCCACACTCAGAGATCAGGGGAGTGGAGGGGAGGGGAGGGTAAGGCCATCTTTTCATGGGCTTCTCTTCTGATGACCAGAGCATGAAGTGTGACTGACACACAGCAGGCACAAGCGACTGATGATAAACACGGCAGACAGACATACACGCCGAGTATGTGTGCGTGAGAGACACATTGTCACAGCAGCCGTGGCTCCTTGGTCTGGCTAGTAATGACATCATGCCTGGACCAGCTCCCAGAAATCCCTGCTGCTGGCACATGACCAGGCTATACTGAATTTCCTTAGAGCAGACACTCACACGCTCTCACACTCACACACAATCACAAAGATACAGACAATTATGTTGTGACCCCAAGGAGCAATCACACAATTATACTTGTTGACTTCAATTGTCAATTGAAGATTAGAAAAGCAGTTACTCACATTATCAACTTTATAATAGGAGTAAAGAATGCAACAACATTTTAACAGCACTATTATTAACCAAGTCAGGAGCCAAAACACGGACGACGGTTCCTAACACGGAAATAGAGGGGTTTACCGTGATCTACGGTGGATCCCTAAGCAAAGAGCAAACTGTCACAGTGGTAGGAAGGACAAATGACATAAAGACAAGAGTGAAATAGAAAGAAGAGACCCTGTAAATCCACCATATGAGTTAAAACTGTACATCACTACCCATGTCCCTCACCCACGCTAACACAGTGGTAACATCATAAACTGGGACATAGAAACCTCAAGAGTCTGACTTACACCTGTGAGCCATAATGAAGGGCAAACAGTTCCCATAAAACAACACAAACGAAAGAAAGTGAACGTAGCGCAGTTCAATGTACGGCACACAACCAGCGAATGTTAACAAAGCCGTCTTCTGCGTATAGCTCCACGTGACGATGTATTAGGTTCCCTGTATATATAATGGCAACATGTCACTGAAGATGATTGCAATTTGAAAAGGAACTTAATTATTTAATTAGCAAGAATTTGACAACAAAATGAGATGGAGATAATAGATGAGTTCTAACACGCGCTGTAATGCGAACACGTGTCCCCGGCAGCACCTGTGCATTGGATGTCACTTGTCCATCAAGGATGAAAAAAAAAAAAAGAACAATTCAGCTGTTGGAGGAAGTCAGCATTGTTTGGTAAAATCTATATACTGTACATCCTGTACATGAGAGGAAAACACAACCTGCAGGAAAACCTTCTGCCCTCTGACCTTTTTGCTCTAAGACGACAGTATACACTCCATTTTAAACAGGAACACTACATTAAATATAACTATTCATATGGTTTTCAATTCATTTAATTTAAGAGTAATAATAGGAGTATAAGATTTTGAATGTTGTTAGTAATGTTGTCAAGTACACAAAAGACATCACAAAATAACAATCTTACAGCGTGTTAGGTGTTAAATGTTATTGGTTGTTGTTTTTGGTTGATATATTTTTACATTTTCCTTTCCACTGAGTTGTGAACCTTTACCTTAACATTCATGAGAAGGTGATTTTCAGGACATGCAACACAATGCTGCTCTAACTACATGAGGACAGATGTATGTGATTTTCCACCTTGTACTTAGAGTTGCCATGTGTTGCCAAAGGGCCCGAGGACTCACAAAGCTAACTTCACTGCCAAAAAAGTCTAGGGGGTTAAAAATGTGAAGACTTTCCAAAGCAACAATCTCTGGCAGTTTCATCTGCTGTAGCCTCAGGCTCCCCTCAGTGCTCCTGATACCGGGGTGGACTACATTTCCCTAGATTTCATACAAATAACATTAAGTTTGTTTAAGGGTACGATCTGTGAGTTGATATTTTGGACCAAACACATGAGTCTGCCTGGTTGGTTTTCCTACTCTATCCGGTGATTTAATGCCCTTGTTTTTGTCTTTGAGAAGTTCTGAAGGATTGGGGCACATGGTTCACTTCCTAGGACTGGAAGTGTACCAGACACTCTGTATGGGGTCTGATTCTCACAATACCACTCAGATAGACATAACATACGTATGTGTGTGTGTGTGTGTTGTGTTGTACTTGTTTGTCTTAAATTGACTTCAGGGATTCGATGTTTATTTATCTGTGTGTATGTGTGTGTGTGAGAGTGGACCATACCATAGAGGTCAACTTGGGCCAGCTGCCTTGAGCTGATGGAGTGAGCCACACACGTGCTGAACTGTGACCTTAAGACAGACTGTAGGGGGAAAGCAAGAGAGGAGAAAAAAGTTAATTGTGTGACAGCGTGAATGAAAATGTTTATAAAATCACTCACATATTAATCAAAACAAAGATTTTTTTTTACCTTCTTTACATAAACCACTGGCCATATCAGCCTTACAATACTGGCAGACTATATAAATGTAAATAATGTTGATAAATGAATGTTGTTTCGACTGAGTCACATCATAAAACTCCCTCGGACTCTGTTGGTCTCGTTGCTCATTTCCCATTTTTACAAATATCCAATTGTTATGCATGATTGATTATGTTGCAGTTTAAGTCGACGCCGTCACATGAGTAAAAGAAGATGATGAAGAAATATCACTTTGACTGTAAAACACCAGCAACAGAAGTGATGCATGGTCAAGCAGAATACTAATGAGAGTTGGTTTCAATATTTATGTTTTGAAAACAGAATAATGTAGCCCATTCAGTTATATTTTTATTGTGTTGTTTTTCTATCAACATGAGTGAAGGTTTAATCTCTTAGATTAGGAGATACAAGGCCTGCCTGTTGAACAATAAGCCAGATGTAAAAAAAACAGTGATGAAAAAAACTGTGTCGCAACAAAAGAAAAACTGAATACAGACTTTCTTACTACGGACATAAAATGAAAACGAAAAAACAAGTTTCGGTAACTAAACCCAGGTGTGTGTGTAAAGTCACACTATAAAAGATGAAGGTTGAATTTATGAAGATGAGACTGAGAGGAGCCGTACAGAAAGCAAATGTTCACTGAAGCATAGAAAAAACAAGCATCTGCTTTTACGTATGACGACTCAAAACCACTGGAAACGCTGTGCACGGAACCCGGGAAATAACTCCTGTTTCAATCACACAGGAGAAAAGACTGACACAAATACAGACACAGGAAGGTAAATTAGTAGAATGGAGTACAGTGGTGAGAATCAACAGGCTATGGTCATCCCTGGAAACCTTTAGATTTTGTTATTTTTTTAAATGTACAGTGGAACCTCGAAAACAAGTACGAGCACACTTATCGACGTTAACGCTAGGTATTGTATCTACGTGATTTTCTCTCTATTTTGTGCATTATTCTTCATAATAGTGATGAGTCCTAGGAAAGGGAGTGGTAATGATGGTAGAGAGAAGGAGAAACGCATGATGACCATGGAAATAAAGCATGAAATTGTCGATAAATATTAGCGTGGTGCACGCTAAAGAAAAAATACAAATCGAAAAAAGCAAAAAATTAAAAAATAGAAAAGTAAAAAAAAAGCTAAGTTAATTCTAAGTTTACATAAATTACGTTGGTTTGTGTATGTCTCTACCATTGTTATTAGCACTAATACGGGAGTTTTTTAAAGGGCCAGAACGGATTAATTTTTTTTTAATTTCTTATAGGAAAAACTGATTTAAGATACGAGCACGAGCTTACGAACGGATTATGCTCGTATCTCCAGGTTCCACTTTACTCTGAAAGATCAGGCTAATTACAGGACAACATATATATTTACTGTATTCTTATCTGGTGACTATAAGGATAAAGGTTTTTCTGCTCTCACCACTCAAGTTTTTTTTTCTCTATTCACCATCCACTGTCTCTAATATGTCCTTTAAAACCAAGTGATTCTTGTTGACACACCTTTAATAAACTACACAACAACAAAGTAGGATCCTGCAGTCCTGTAGGACTTGGTGGGGAAACCAAATAAATATATAAATATATAAATAAATATGTGAAGTGTGTGGATTAGTCTGAATAATAAAGAATATTTTCCTGAAATTCAGCACGAGAAATCTGATGAACATATTGCATGTGTTCCATAAAAGTGCATTCACAGAGCAGCTTGAACAATAGAAGCAGTGCTTTAGGAAGGAGAGGGGAGTGTGTGTGTGGAGGGGTGTTCATGTTCATTTAAACAAGCAGAGTGTGGCTGTGGGCCCGAAACAGCCAGCAGTACATTTCCATAACAGGAAAGGTCAGAGCTGCGGCTATGACGGCTTAAGAGAAGCTAACACAGTCTTTTCTGGGAGCTCCCAGCTGACTGGATTTAATTTATTGCATTAATAAAATGTTACATTTTGCATTCTGTATGGTGTCACTCCAGTTAGCACATTTATTTGACATTTAATTCATGTTTTTAGTTTATACACACTATACTGTTATATTTCTCTGGGGGCATTTCATATTTTATTATTTGTAACTATATTATAAATTAAAAATGAACTTGTTTTTTTTTTTTACATTGATGCAGCTACAGTGCTAACTGTTATAAATGTAGCATTTGTATTATTTTTTCTGAAATTATCTGTTGTATAGATAGCAATTACATAAAGTAATACAACTTTAAAATCTGTTTTGAAGCAGCATCCTGGTCGACAGAACGACTCCTGGCCTCATAAAGTACTGCGTCACTGTTGACACTGCCTTGAAACCTACTTAGGTCTTTCCTGTATATAATTAACTACTGCCACTGGTATTTGACTGAATAGATGCCTGTTTTGGTTAATAGTTGACTTCTCTCCCACACTGTTAGCATTAGTTCTGCTAACTCACAAGAAGTGTTTTCAATCTTTTCTTAGTCTACAGCAAGTAATAAATAGAAATAATACTTCACGTAAAGGCAAGTAAGAGGCTGTACTTCAGTTTGGTAAGTAGTTTCAGTTTTAAGTAATCTCATGCACGGTGGTTTATATGCAGAAGATACTGCTGATGGCATAACCTGTAGCGTCAAAGCAATCAAAGTGCTCTGATTGGTCATTGATTGGTTAGTTGTAGTACTTAGCCAGGCCAACCAGGAGTAAACTCTGTAGTCGCTCCGACACAGGGCATCTGTTTAACTGGTTGTAATAAGAAGCACAATCCAAACGCCATCCAAGACTGGATCACCACTACATTCATGTTTTCAACCGATTTTGCCCACTTAGCCACACGCCCAACTGAAGCCTCCATTCTGAGAAACGTAAAGTTAGACACAGCAGCGATCATATTTAAGTACGTTTAAGCATTCCAAAGACCAGAGCTCGAGGTATCAGGTCAGATTTAAAGCTGCTGGCAAATCTTAAAGTAAATTTAGTAATATTACTTTACAAGTTGGCAGTAAAAACAATCAGAGGTCACAAAATGTAATGTTGAGTCAACGTGCAAATGTGCCAAAACTATATCAGACACACTGACTGTTTTCTGGACTCCTTCCTGCGTTACTAATGACATCACATTTGTTGAAGTATCAGAAAAAAACTGGGCCAAGTTTTTTAGGGCTGACAGTCCAGAAGCGAGACCAGGATTCAGAGTTGGAGTCTTAAACCCGCTCTGCTTTAATCACAAAATCAAACAGAGACTTGATCTGTCAGCCTGTATTATATCAGATACCAAAAAAACAACTATTTTCTAATTCAATTCATATTGTAATATTTAAAAATAAATACTTTAAATCTGTCAGGACTGCTGAAGAGACTCCCATAGCGCAAAGCTCACTCTTCCTCCCTCAGTCTATATACATACATATACAGAAATACACATTTTTTCTACACTACTTTGTGCTTTTACTCTCTTTACTCTCTACTCCTTCACTTTACTACTTGTAACTACAGTACTGCAGCATCTGATCCTGTTGTCATTTGTTTTTCATTCATTTTCAATAATATTATAACATTTGTAAGAATCCATTACTTTTACATTGGTGCTACAATGACACACACATATATATATACACATATACTGTATGTATATATAGACACATATATGTGTACATATGTATATATAGACGCACTAACATACATATATATTCATATACTATTTATCTTAAGCCATGGTGTTTATGGCACAGCAAAAATATGGAACGCTTGTTATGAATGTGGTTACAATATGTCATTGGAACACTTTAAATTTTTTTGGTCCATGTGTTTGTTTGTATGCGCGCACACCGTACAAATGCACACTCTCACACACAGTGTTTGAAGTTGAGTTATGTACAAAACAACAGCGGAGGAAATGGAAACTGCTTCTGGTCTTTCTCTTGGACCAGGCCTCATGGCCTCAGGGGGCTCATATAGGAATACAACTTTCCTTGAGGGCACTCTCATATACCTCAACACCTGCAGCACACAAAAGCCCTCTGTGCGTCAAAGAGTCAACTAAAATGTTGCTCACTGACAACAAGGAAACAATGTGGTCTTAGAAAGGTATGCTGGCGTAGGGACTAAAAGGATACAACCGGTAGCAATAGAAAAAAAATATATATTAAAAATGAAAATGACATTGACGTTGCTTAAACCTGGCAGCGATGCAGCAAATGCTTGACAGGGAAAACAAGCATGGATTTAGAGCATAGGTTTGCCCTTGGAAAAAATATCATAGAAGCATTTAAACTTTGACAAATGATATTATAGCTGGGAGTATTAGTAAAAATGCTTTTGTTAAAGTGTCCATTAAAACAGTCAGGCTCAGACAAAGATATAGTCTATTTTTTTGGGGGGGGGGGTAATGTGATAAAATCTCCTTCACAAACATCTTGGTCCTTTACAGCAGCTCCCCCTTATCCACAGGTTTCTTTGTAATAACAGTGCTTGCAGGACTGAGGCTAAAACAATATTGACACTGGGGTTTTGGAAACGACAAAACACGGCTAATAGACATAATCATCTGACACAATTATCTGCAGTAAAAACAGCACTGCTCATTTTCACTGTATGTTTTTGGTTGTTGTGTCTGAAGAAATTCTGCCGGTAAAAACGGGCAGAGCCAGCCACTGAGCCCACCCGGGCCTCACCTTGTGGGTGCAGAAGTGTCACATTGCAGCTCGTCCGAACCAGATAAGGCTGAAGTGTGAGGTTTTTCGTCTGTCGTCTAGGTGAAACAACAGAACCAAAAAAGGTTAGTGGACAGAAGTGAACATATTCCATCGCACGGCAAAATTTAATAACATTTAGTTGAACGCCATTAATTTAAGAAATTGTTATGACACTGCTGGAGTCCAGAGAGTGATTTCTCTGTCTGGTCCGGCAGACGTGAGTCCATTTACCTAATTAAAAAACCAAACCAGCCCTCTCTGTAGCTCTTGTGTTTACTGCTGCCTGATGAAGAGGATAAAATACGGGCTGCAGCTGAATTGTAAAATAGGGAGCAGAAACTGGAGGGGGGAAAAAGTAGAGGACACAGAAAGGAGAAATAAATTTATCAAAGTGAAATTATTAATTATTAATAGACTATTTTTTATACAGTATATATCCTGTGTTAATAAATGTATCTTAAGAATAGAGCAGCTTCTACAGCATAGTCATTCCAGCAAATATTATGTGACAAAGTGTTTTTCTTTTTCACAGCTCTTGGCTAACATAACAAACACCTCTAGGTTTTACTTTCTTTAACCACTCCCTTTATTTCCCCAGTGAGTCATTTGCACACACAGTATTAATTATAGTTCAGTATTTAGAAAAATATTTAACTTAACAGGCAGTTTGTCTCCCATGAATACATACGTATGCAGTTAGTACAATATAATATAATACGACATATGGGAAGAAGAGTACAGATACATTCGTATGTGAGAATGATGTCTGACTAATGTGTGAATGAAAGTGATGAAAGTTAAAATAATAGATTTAATGTAACGCTGTATGACATGTATGATTAAATTATTCATTAATTCATTCAAACTGGATCACATGAACCTGAACAACTGAACAGAGCATCTGGAAAACAGCTACTGCACAAGAGACATCAATAAAAACAATAAAGACCAGCAGGTTGACGAAAAGCAGAGAGAAGCCACACTCAGAGATAAGGAGATAAAGGACAGACTGGGGCGGTTAAAGTAAGTGATTAGGTAGAGAGAAAAAAAAGTCTATTAAGGATGTTTCGACGAGAATGAGGCAGAATGAGAGAGAGAGAGAGAAAGAAAGAGAGAGAGAGCCCTCAAGTAAAGGGAGATGATGCTGCAGTAAGTGCTGCAGGGAAACGTGTCTTTGTTCCGGTAAGAAGCTGACAGCATCACCTGATGACTCACCGGCCGTATGACTGCATCACACACAGCATGAGATCACCAGGTTAATCTAAACACACAACACCACAGCTGGCTAAGAGATGAGGGGGAAAGCGCACGCACAGACGCACAAAGATATGGTTGCCCGGTAGAAACACATTATCATATTCACATATCCATCCATTAGCAGAAGCTTGATCCTGTACCATTATATCTCTGCTTTAAATGATAAACCATGGATAATAACAGGTACTCAAACTGATGGTGATACGCTGTTAAAGATGGTTTGGAAATTGACCGTGTTAGCTATGAGCTATGAGTCGAAGTGCTGGTTCAATAATACAGGGTCCTCGACTTACATCGGAAGTCAATTTTTTAACTATGCAATGAAATAATAGAACAAGACTTTCTAATGGTAGATGGCGACTGGTAAAAATGACCTACCATATGATATTGATATTGAGATTGTAATTATTATTTTTATGACATATATATATATATATATACACATATATATATATGGGTGTCTGTTTTTCTCTTATATAAATTCTGCTATGGTTTCTAGATTTCTTTATTATTTACATTTCCAACCCTCTACACAGACTCATTTTGGTAAAAACACTGGTGTCCCCTGAAGTACAGGGGGCATTCCTCCGAAACTATGTGGCGTCATGACACTGGACAGACAACACCTGGACAGATTCTAAAAAGTGAACCCGTGACCTTGCATCGCAAGTGATAAAGTGACAAATAATGAGATATCATCAGAGCAAAACAACTGATATCACACAGTTACCATCTGACTGCTCAAGGTTACAATTCTACACATGGCTGACCTCAAAATTGATGTCATTGCATCAACTGTAATGTCAGTGTGTTACTGCAGCCTTTTGAAAAGTAATATCAATTATTAATTGGTCTAACCTAAGCTATTGCTGTCATGCACGAGTACGAGTACGACTGCGACACAGGGTGTAGAGAGCACACGGTGCTTAAGCCGCAGCCCGAATGACACTTTAGAGCAATGGGTCAGGTGTTGGGTTACAACAAAGCACAGGGGCACTTCAGTTACATGAAAGAGAGACGACGAGAAAGGTAAAATAAAAGACACTGAGAAAGACAGAACTTCCAGGAAAGAATTCTACCCTTTGAATTCCTTGGTGTTTGCAGTAAAAACGATCATTTAAAAAAAACAAGTGCATTTCCAGAATTATGTTGTCATTAAAAATAATAATAATACTAATGATACATAAAAATAATCAAACTATACATCTAAAAGAGCTTGGTCCGTGACTGTTTCTGCAGCTTCTGGCCTGAACACCCAGACACACTCACCCAAAACTCAATTCACACAGAACCAAAGCAAACACCAGATTCCCACTGGGGACATATAAACTTACACGCAGACATCCTCCTGGGAACACAAACCAGCAAGCCAGCATGGAAAGTATTTAACGTCTCTTCATGCCGGCTGAATTTTATTCCCTGCTCCGTGAAGCCTAAAGCCACTGGGGTCATAAAGTCCATTGACAGGCTGAACAGTTATGGTTGCAATGATCACCTCATATTCCACTGAGGACGACCAGATAATTGCAGTTGAGACCAAAGGACCGTCTTGAAAAAATAAACATTGACTCTGGTATTTCAGGGAGAATTTCTAATATTCCTCAGCAGTGTCACCCTGCATCTAGATCCGTTTATAATGATGGCCTAGGATCTCCACAGTATTGTACCCAAACCTCCAAATTTTACTGCGAGGACAGTACTCTTTGAAGTATATCTTAATTTTAAAAGTTCTTTATAGAGAACAGTTTGTGTTTTTTTATAGACTTCTAAGTCCAGGACAAGTACAGTATGTTTTTGTGACAATCTATTCTGGGGACCTGAAGAACAGGTGAAAAAATGAATAATAAATGTGTGATATCCAATGAAAAAAAAACATATAGGTATAGAAAAAGAATGGGAAACCAAGAGCACGTAATAAAAAAAATATATACATGCACATATAAATGTACACACATATATATACATGTACATATATATACTGCATTTTTTTTTAAAAACTGAATAATTGATGTCTTGTGCATTACAGTAAGGAGGGGGACATGTGGCCAGTTGTAACTTCTGGGAATTGTTCTCAGGCAGCAGGCTTCTGTTCCAGTCAGTCATGTGACCAGCAGGGCTCTCCCGGTGGTCATGTGATATGGTGCATGCTCAGTACACTCCCCGCTGCTCTCCTCCTTAACCCTTTTACACTCATTTCCAACAGTAATGCCTCTTCTGTAGCAGACACCCAAAGTGATTTAACACCACTACCCAGCGTCCTGCCTTGTCAATTAAATTACCCCTCAACTCCATGCGTCTAATGGACTAAACCTCCTTTGTCTCTACTCTTGATCTTTCTACCTCCTCCTCCTCCTCTTCCTCTTCTACAGGCACTTAATCCACAGTACTCTGAATTATTCAGTGGAGCGCTGCCACCGGCCAGAGAGAGCTGTCTCTGCGTGAGACGTCGAAACAGAAAGACAACATGATGTGGCAGTGGAGGTGAGGTGTCAGTGGTAGAGCGACAGCAGCAGATGTCAGGGTGGGGGCTTCCAAGGAAACCCCACACTCATCTTTTTTTTGCACCCTTGCCTTGCTCTCCTCCGCATGGCAGTTGTTATCGCATAACCAGGGTATAACTAGCTGTCACGACAAGTCAACTGTAAATAGACAGCATTCCTGGCGGTCAGCTTGTCCTGACACAGAAACCGACGGGGTGCTGGCTGCAGAGGGGATCAGGTGTCTCGGGCAGCCATCGTGACAAAGCAAATCCACCCACGGCCGTGGCCTGAACTGAAAGTCAGAGTAAAGAGCAGCAATAATAGTAATGAAATCTGATAACAACAGGCAAGGTTACAGGCACAAGGCTCACCTCGTACATTTAGACCCATGTTAGTTAATAAAGTCTTAACAATACCAGGTTCTCGTGAGATATCTTTCTCAGAATGCGTAGGATTTTTTTTGAAAATCAGGACAAATATATTTTCAAGGCGAGGAGTTCATAATAACTGTGGCGTTATGGCCACTGGTTATTTTTTAACATCTATTTAATCACTGATGTTTAAATATATTTGGTTCTTATTTACCATGTATTTTGTTTTCTTTTTTTCCAGATGAGAAAGAGTTAGTTCTAGCCATTTAACGGAGACTTTGCTTCATTTAAAAAAAAAAAAAGATATTGTTGTTTTTCCTTTTCCCTACTCAGTAGAGTATATAAATAATTAAATAATTCTACAGTTACTGTTCACTAATCAAAACTGGTTAGTCATCCCGGTGACCAAACGCTGTGACGAATGACTCATCAAAAAATGTTTAGATATGGAAATGCTATATACCCAGGCTTTGAACTGTCAGATTACTACAGATTACTGCACTTCAGAGCATACTGTATCACAGATTACGACGGCGGAATTAAACAAATGACGTATTTGTAGAAATGCTGAAAAGTGGCCGCAAGACTTTTTTTAGAGCGTGCATTGTAGTAAAAATGTAATTCCCTAAGGTCTTTACTGCCCTGTGTTTGAGGAAATACCCTGCCTGAAGTGCAGTGCTTCAGTAAACACCGATGCAAATCACAGCGCTTCAGGTCTGCCGTGGGAGGTGATGCAGTGTCAGGAAATAGAGGCTGAGGAACTCCTGACCTTTCCTTTCGTCGGCACTTTCTGTCATTTAGACGTCTGTGTCTCGGTGTCACCGTGGGCAGACCAGGAGGAGTTCAACTGTCACCTTCAGGGGAAGACAAACTCACTTTCAAGAACAGCAGTGTTTACATTAGTGTGTGGATTTCGGGTAATAAACACAAATGAGCAAGTGATATGAGAAAGAGAAAGTAGAGTGAGGGGTTGATATAGTAGATGATGATTCAGGGAGAACAGCGTGTAATACCCCAACGCATACTATTTCTGTACTGTCTGTTAGCCCGTGCGTGAAGGGGGGGGGATCCCACCCTGTGTGTGTGTGTGTGTGTGTGTGTAGTGTTGACCATGCAGAGTCAGTCAGTCTGCCATGGGGCCTCGGGGATTCCTGTTTCGTCTTTTAGAAATGCTCTGGGGTCTCACTAGAGGTTGCGCCTGGTGATGGTGGTTAAGGGGCCTATCAGCTGGCCTGAAGGATGTGTTCATGTCTCCTCACCCTCACACCATCTATCCATGCTCATAAATCACTAAATCCCGACATTTTCTACAGCTCTAAGGGACTAAGGAGTGGATTTATGACAACAAAAAGTTGTCATAAATCCAGATATCTGGGTATTTGTTGAGTCTTTAAAACAGGGGTTTCAAATTTTGGTTCAGGGGTCGCCTACAACCTAATTAGATGTCAAGTGGGCCAGAACCAGTAGAATCGTAATATAATTAACTATAAATAACAATAGGTCCAACAGTATATTAGATGTTCATTGATTCACATTTAATAAATAATTTTACAAAAAAATATCCTGGACAAGTGTTTGTGCATTTTGTCATTTTTACAATTTATCAAGCAGGCTGGATTGAACACCCTAGTGGGCCGGTTTTGGCCCGTGGGCCGTATGTTTGACACCAATGCTTTCAAATATTTGATTCTCTGCATTTAACATATGTATTATGTACTTTACATTTAATAATCCTGCCTTACGTCAACAAGGTCACTGCTCAAGCACCTACTTTAACTGATTCTTTTTTATGATTTCTATCCAAGGGTGTGGACTAATTTTTTTTTAAATGAAAATTATTATCAACAGCATCCTGAAATGCCACATAGACCGTAACTGTGACTAACAAAAATATTTGATGAGTCACAGATCGTCCTGAGAGAAGGCGGGGTTTTATTGTCTGTTCAACCAACTAATACTTGTAATATGATTTTTCTTTTTAATTGATAGATAATTCAATTAAAGTGGACTTTGCTGAAGAAAGTCAAAGATGAAAGCTGATGCTTTTATTTCCTGTGGATGAGCCTGTAACTGTAAAAGAACATGGGACGGGGCCTCACTCTCAGTGAAGAGGGCAAATTCTTCACATCGCGCAATGTGTGCAGACGAGTTTCAGCTTTACACACGCACACACACACACACAGATACTCACACAGACCCATACACACACACACACAAAGGAGTCCAGCTGTCAATCAGAGTCTCGTAAGAAGCAGTCAACAGACAGGCTATTCTCTGTCTTGGCAAATGTCCCGTGCAGCAGAGAGAGCACTATGTCACACAGAGACAGACAGACTTCCCTCTGTCACACACTCGCTCCAGCATCGTTCACTCTCTCTGTGTCTGCCACAAATCACATTTTCATTACACAGAAAAAAAGTTGTAGAGTCATTTCAAAATATGAAAAAATAAAGGTCTATTTCCTGCATTTTTCATACAGATTTAAAGGTACTGTGGAGCTCACAGATCCATACAGTCCAATCTGGGGACATTATATCTGCAGAAATCCTAACCTGCAGTTTAGTGCGTAGGTGTAATGAGAGCATAAGAAATATTCAGGGTCTCCTCCTCCAAGCCTCACTTCTTCTTTTTCTCACTACGCTCCATTTATTTGACTGACACTGTGTCCACTAAATTTGCATGCGCTGGAGTCATTTGGTGGAAGAGGGGCTGCTCTCAGAGCGACTCCTCCAGACGTGACATCACATTAAAAAAAAAAAAACACAATTACACACTCAACAAGCGCACCCTGTGTGTACAGTACATCTGGATGAAGAAAAAAAGAGTTATTACTTCACTAAGCCTTCAGAGGAATCTCATTTAATGGATAAATGATAGATGGATGGATAGATGGATGGATGGATGGATGGATGGATAGATGGATGGATGGATAGATAGATTAATAGATAGATAGATAATGTTAACTTTTTAATTTTTCTTTCTGCCAGACCTCCAATACTGCATAAAAGCCAGCAAATGTTGGGTCATGTCCAAACCTGTCCAGATACCACTGAGAGCTCTCAGGCCAGGCCTTAGATACAGCCTGCCAAAACAACAATACAATAAAGTACAAAAGAGTCATTAACTACCAAAAGGACATTTAATCAGAGCAGTTCCGTTATTTCCGCATTAACAATTCAAAAGAAAGAAAAACACTTTTCATGCAAAGAAGAAGGATCTAGTTCCTGGAGATGAACCTGAGACGGTGGCACATAGGTCATATTCATTTATCCTGATTAATTAAAATCACAATTAATCCATTACTATTTTGCAATGATTTTTTAAAAAGAATTATAAAAACAATATATTTATTTGGGGTGTTTTTTTTCCTGCTACTTTACTTTTTGTCAGCTCCTATTGGACAATTCATCTATCAATCACACATTGTGACCACTCATATTCAGCTGCCAACTTGTCCTGTATAACCAAATCTGGAACACCCGTTCCCGAACCACTAAGAGTGTTTAAAGTTTCAAAACAGTAAATCAAGTGCCTTGCTCTGAGAATATTAACAAGAGCCTTTTAATAAAAAGTCCAAATTTGTGTTAGAAGAATTTCCCTCCACAGTGAAGCTGTGCTGTGATCAGCCTGGCACTGAAGTCTTCCTGCTCACACTAGGGCAATAATGAGGCTTTTCCTTTTGATGCTTCTCTACAGTGACTCCCTTAGCGACCACAGGAAATGGAATTTTCTAGTGGGATCAAAACAAGTTGAGAGCTGTAAACGGTTTGAGTTTCCGACAAAGACAATGTGCCAGATTCCAGCGCCTTAAGGGACATGGCCATATCACAATGAGTCCTCTGTCTACGACGTGTGCACACACCCACTTGTACCCTCCGACACACACAAACGCCCAGTGAGACGTACAACACTATGGAGTACTTCAATGCTGTGAAGTCCTGATTCAGTAGCCGAGTGTGTATTTTCACGCAGTACCTTTGTTGTACTTGTGTGGCTGCATGGCATGGTGCACACCTCTACACTAGTGCATAGTGAGTGAGTGTGTGTGCGCGCGTGTGTTCTTGTTTGTAGCCTAAAGGCAGCCTTACTTTTGACAGTTCTTAGAATTGGTTTGGGGCAAGGTTCAAGCAGGTAATGGAGAAATTTGGTTTCTTTGTGTGTGTGTGTGTGTGGGTGGGTGTGGGTGTGTGAGTGTGAGTGTATGCCTGCGGTCCTAGGGTCAGGCAGCCCATTAGCAAGACATCCCAGTATCTAAGTGCCTCCCTCCAGCAGCTAGTTTGACAGCTCTGTAATCTACGGTTCCTCACAGAGATCACCATGGTAGGTCTGCCGGTCTCTGGGCGTAGGTGAACGTGTGGCCACGTGGACCTGTGTATGTGTGTGACTGTTGGTTGGTTGGTAGGCAGGGCAGGTTTAAGAATGACCAGAACATTCTCAGAAACAAAACTCGTACCATCTCCCCATTCGAGGAAATCAGTAGAGTGAGACTTTCACGGTACGCCGACAGTCAGTAACAGACTTTTATTGCTGACGTTACCTGTTAAATCTTTTTTTACCTTTTAAAAAAGGGTTAAGATGAAAATCCTATTGTAAATATTTCAAATGATTTCCCATGACATTTAAAGTTCAAACTAGTCGGGGAGAAGAAAAAAAAAGGAAAATATAATTATGTTGTGCAATCGCTCAACAGGTCGGCCTGGAAAATGTTTCGACTTGAACAACTTCAACAGCTGCCGTGCAAGATTTAGAAATAGTGGAAAAATCTTAACGGAGAGTTTAATGTTTTTGGAATCTGACAATACTTTGTATGTATACATTGTATTTAGTAATATTTGGTAATGTCAGGACCAACCTCGCTACAGTAGCTACACTAATTCAGTCATTTCAATGTTCCCGTTTTATTTTGTGTCCAATGTCTCATCTCTATCATTATGGTGAAATAAGATCACATGTTCGATTATCGTTGGTAACTGGCGCTAATGTCCTGTTTCCTCATGTTTCTTATTTATTACCTCCCAGTCCGTGTAGGTGTGTATTCTGCGTTCCTGTTTTGTTTTTTTGCGAACTGCTTCCTTGAATTTTGCTGTTTAATTTGCGTATTTGAATCTAATTGTGATACAGTAGGTTGACAGTACAATGTGTACCAAAAAGAGACACCAAATATGATGTTTTGATCCGAACTGTGACCTGAGGATGTAGTCTTTGTACATCTCGAAAAGATCTGATTAAGATTTCTTTTTCAGATTTCTATATCTCACAGACTTGTTTCCTTTCCTTTCCTCTTCTTACGGCCCTGGAGTACAACGAATGAGGGTGGGAAGGGAAGAGAAAGAGCAGCCAGAACAGAGCAGTCAGCTTTAAAGAGAATGCTTTCATCTTTCCCACAGACAGGCTGAGAGTTGTCTTATCTCTGAGGCTTGGCCCTGCTATCGCTCTCCCTGTTAAACATTAGTCCCAGGAATCCCCCTTGGCTTTATAGGCAGGAGTGCATGCAGAACACTTGTTCTTCTATCCTAGTGCAAACTTTAAATCATGTCAGGATAATAAATGCTATTTCATTTTTGCCTTTTAGAAGTTTAGATTTTTACCTGGAGGGGAAAGTCAATTGCCTAAGAATTAAGGAAGCCTGGACTTATAATCATGTTTGTTACAGTGTGTCTTGATATAATCCGATCTAAAGGGGTAATCAGACAAATACTTCTACACCTGGTGACCAATCAAAGTGCTTAACACAACAGGTTCTGCTATCAACCCATTTACCTTAGGGCTTCCAGGTCGTACAAAGAATTTGAAACTTGCAGCCTTGTTCCAGTGTAAACCTCTCCGCAGACTTTAACACCTGCCTGTAGGGAACTTGGGTCTGTACCAAAGACTAAGGTTACACTTCTTTTGTAACTCTGCTATCTGTACTTCTCCCAACTCTAACAAAAAAACCCTTCATGTTAAATGTCAGTGACATATTAAAACCAATGTACGCCTCACAGAGAATGCCGTGTATGTACACGGTGCTTACAATGAAATGTCTGAACTCATCAGAACGCATGAGTCGAAAGGCAACTTCAAATGAGTGTGAACAAGACTTCGATTCTATCAAAGAAAGTTGAATATTTATAGTTCGACTCTTTCCACTTTCCCAGGACTCTCTCAAAAACACAGGCTCTGCTCTTGACAGTTGGTAGTGTGTGTGAAGCTAACCGCCTGTTTCAGCACTGACTTGCAGCTGTATGACTTTTGTTTTATTTTGACCGTATCCCGGCAACAGAGCTGTTCCTATTTAGCTCCCTCTCCACCCTCTGGCTCCCAGCGCTCTGGGCTGCTTCGCTCTTCCACGTTAGTGTGTGTGTCTGTTACACATCTGCTTTGCATTGCCGGGGGATCTCGGCACTGACTGAAGCCAGGAGGGCGGCGGATCACGGTGGAGGTTGTAGAAGAAAGGGGTGAGAGGGTTGAAGTTGCACAGAGTGAAAGGAGAAATAAGTAAATAAAAACAGAGGAGTAAAAGAGACAAAGAGACAGGGAAAGTGCTACGATGAAGACGTAACAGACGGAGAGAGAACGCGACTCTGTGATGAAGGCAGAGGATGAAATATATGTTTCTGCAATTCAGCAACAAGGACATTAATATAAGGCAATTAGAACACTTTTTAAGCTGCCGTGGACCAGACAGAATGACTTAACGGGCCACATTTAGCCCGTGGCCCTTGGGTTTGACATGTATTAGAGCTATCAAGGTTTATACATTTGTAGTTTAGCAGTTTACTTCAGGGTTGGGTGAGCGATATCGCTAATGTTGGTTGGCTGCATTTCATTATTTAATATGCTAAAACTGCGATTCGGGAGAGAACTGCGTTTGGTCGGGGAAGGGGGCGCTGTGAAAACAGACCAACATCCAGGAGGGGAATCAGTACTTTTAGACTAGGGTCAAGAAAGTGTCCACTGCTGCTACTCCTCTGGGATTTTATCTTTTTTTTACCAATTGTTTTGCCTCTCCATCCTCCACTCTCTCATTCCTGCGGGCACCTCCTCCTCTCCGTTGCCTTCTCACTCATATGTCAGCTAATTATTGGACCTCACTGTGTGATTATGTATTGCACATGAGATCCGACGCAGAGACGTGGAGAGGTGAGACGGTGAGCAAGTCAGCCGCGGAAAAGCGCTGCACTCAGTCCAGAGGACACGGAGCAGTCTTCCTTTAATGCTGGGTGTTTTTTTGTTTTTTTTTTCGCGTGTTTCGTGTCCTTCTTATGTATGTGTATGTTTTGCAGTTGAAGTCTGTTGAAAAGTGTGTCTCCTTGAAAGTCTTCTCAATCAAACCAAAGTGGAGCAGGGAGTGCTCTGAGAGCACTTTAGCTTTCAGATGAAGAGTGATGAGAATACACCCGTAATTACATGTGAATCCTCCACCTGAAGCTGAAAACACAGATGTGTGTGTGTGTGTGTTTGCGTATGTCACCTATTCATCTGTCTTCCATACTCTGAGTCACGCAGCCTCAATCACAAATGTCACTTGCCAACCACAACGAGCCTCAGTGTCCCCGACATGTTCCATAAATGCTGATGCATTAAAAGGCATGGGGCTTTTGTATTCACACGAACCGTGATGAATCCACTGAGTACCAGCGGTTGCTATCTTTTCACCAGAAACACAACAGAAAGTATAAACGGAGGCAAAGCTGCATCGAGTGGAAATATTTTGTCACCTTCATTAATTGAAACTGTAACGTAATCGACTCGACTTTCTATTGCATTAACGTCTAGAATGTGAGGCCGTGCAACTCTTGGGAAAAATACAATACAAAACTAAAGTCAAACGAGAGACAGCACACGTCCCTGAGATACCGTCCTCCTCAAATGTAGCACCCATACCATTAACTGGACATTGGACTTCACCATAATGTCTCTATAGGCTCTGAGTCATCCTGGTCATTTGAACAAATCAAGAAACCAACCCAGTGAAGTTGCCTATATCTACACTGATTTCACCTCTCTATTTCTAAATAAAGATCAGAGCTGTGGTTTTCAACCTTGGGGTTGCGACCCCATGTGGGGTTGCCTGGAATTCACATGGGGTCGCCTGAAATGTCTTTGAGTGAATGTTCATTTTCAGCCTTGTAGAGACAACATTTACGTTTACATAGATGTACTTTGTGGACACTTCTATCCAGAGCGTGCTAACCGCTACACTGTGGAACCAACACGACAAGCTGCTCTAACAGTTCACGTGATCATGTGTGGAAAATACAATGTCACTTTTTGCACTACATTTGTAATACAGTATAACAAACATGATCAAAAACTAATTTCAGAAAAAAAGTTTCTCAAAAAAGGTCAAGAATGTACGATGTCAAAATGGGGTCACAAGCCAAAAAAAAGGTCAAGAACCACTGGGTTAGAGACTAATGGGGTCACTTCTAAACCTCTTTAAACATCATCACACTCAGAGTCTAACCCTAAAAAAAGACATTTACACCTTTGTCTATGAGTGACTCCCCACATGGGCTGTATTAGTATGAAGAGAGAGAGAGGATGTATAAGTGTGTGTGTGTGAGTGTGGTGTGTGTGTGTGTTCACAAGGTCTAGTTCAAAATCTGGTTCTTGTCCTTTCTTGACCTCTGTATACACATATACTTACACACACATGAACACTGGGGTGGAGGTGCGGGGGGAAGGGGTTTGGGTGGTGTAATTTGAAAGGGAACACACACGCATACATAAAGAGACACACGCATTTAAAAGGCCTGTGGGCAGTTGGTGTTTTTGCAGCACTTTGCAGCCCAGTATTCTCTTACCACAATAACATCCAATCACCTGCCAGCTCCTGACCTCTGCCCTCCACCGCAGAGCTGCAGATACAGGGGATAGATTGCATACCAGTGTGTGGGGTAGGGTGGTCCGTGAGACAGAGTTGAAAGGTTTCAGTTTGCCCCCACTCCCCCCCGGGCAAAGTCTCAACAACATTTTTGTAAAACAGAAAAAAATAAGAAGAGGTAAGGAAGGGTCTGTTAGCTGTTCGATGCACTACATTAGCTAGGTACAAGGATGAAGATCTATTCATTACATTTGTGGACAGATGAACCTCCCTGTGGGATTACTCCTCCCCTCACTCCATCATGCCTTTTACCCTCCTCCCTCTCCCTGTGGTCTGAAATACACAAAACCCACATTTCCTCTCATTCATCATGTCATGTTTTTTCTGTGTCTCCCGTCTCTGTCACTCCGACCCACCTCATCAAGTCCACACTTGTGGTACACTAGAAACGACAAAGACATTGTCCAACTTAACACCAATAGAACGTCGTGATGTCTAGAATGGGTTAAAGAACGCCATACTCTGTATCACCATTTTTTGATGATGTTGTACGAGTTGATAAAAGCCCCTACCCCTTCAAGAAAACAAACAAACAACTCATCTTTTATCTCATCTTGACTCATCTCTATGCAGATCATTCTCGATGAGAATGTGGACAGTAGGGGTCACCTGACTGCAGGGTCGACAACAAAGAAAATAAAAATAAAAGTCTTCGTCAACCACTCCCTGAGAATGTCTATAGATATTTTTGTTGTAGACAAAATCACAGCAGCAGGGATTGTATGGACATATTCTATATTAACAGAAACAGACCCATCATGGACAAGATGGAGGTAGACAACAGGACGGCAAGAGCCTGTACTGTACTGTAAGTCTGGTCGTCGTCACAGTCCTGCTCCGTCACAGTCTGGGTCACAGATTTTGTTTTTAGATCCTGATTTGCATTAAGAAACACGAGCACACAGGAAGTGTGTGTTTGTATAAGTGTGTCTCATTTAGACACAAAGCCGTCCTTAGTAGCTCACATGATCTATCAAACATAAAGACAAACCTCAAAAACAATCCAATCGGCCATCATGCCTTTAACAAAAACTATTTATTTCCGTTTTTCATTGTAACGTTTTTGTCTGTATGGCTGTAAACGATGATAAATCACCTTTTACCGGTACCTAGACATTTTAACAGTCCAGGCAGCCACAGTTTATGCACTCAAACCTCAGCTTTATAGCACATAGTGAACTAATATTTTTCTCTGCTTATTTCCTGCCTATGGGCTTTGTGCTGGGGTGCTGTCTTTCTGTGACACAATTTTCCATGTTAAAAAGACATTAACAGAAGCAGGTCGATTTGGCCTGTTCTTAGGCCTGGAGTTTAGAACCCCTGCAATTGAAAGATTGTTTTGACTTGAACTTTTTTTTTACACCTTCCTACAAACTATTCAGGAACAAAGTTCCCCCAATTGTGGGTGTATTGTTCAAGAAGCTCGATAGAAATGGAAAGTACAGGTTTACAGGAAATTTAAGCTGTTATTTTCTTTAGGTTACGTGAATTTTTTTTTCTGTAATCCAGAATGATATCAAAATGATTGGAACTTATTTAAAAAAGGCGGAAAGTCCGTAAACTACCGCACGAGGAACAGGTTTAGGCCAACATAGGAAAGCTGTGCTTTGTATGCAACAGCGGGTTAGCGAAAAGATGCAGTCGGGCCTACATATTCTGGTGTACTATCAACGTTGTCATAAAAGCTCAGACCAAATGATCCTTCACCCACAGGTGGACCGTGTTGTTGCAGTGGAACAAGGTCAGATCATCCACGTATTCAACAAATTGTTGCGTTGTTTTGTGGGAGTGGCCATTGCAGAACAACAGCTGTCTGTCTAAAAGCCTCACTCTCTGGCTCCATGCTCCGAGTTCAACGTGTCACAGGGGCTAAAAGGATATAGGGGGGGATTTAGCACCTGTACATCACAGAGCAGTCCGTTCACCCTAACATGAGATGGATGTCAACAACCTGCTGAGTGATCTTATAGTGAACACAGGGAGTGTGGGCAGAGGCTGTAAGTAGGGCTGCAGGGTAGGATTATATTATAATATCTCAGTCATTTTCATTACGGATTAAATCGTTGTTCCCTTTCACTACTTGGACTGTCCAAAAAATAATGTAGACTTTAAGTGTATTACACTTTATTTAGCAGCTTATAGGGTTTCGACAGGTTGCCCCCCGGCAGTCTCCGAGCATGTGATTACTCTGAGAATCGGACCTCAGACTCTCTGCTTCTGAGACAGGCATGCTAACCGCTACAATATCTAACCAAAAAAAAGAAAGGATGAGGATTTGAACCCATATCATCAGCACCCCAGTCTGAGACCTTAGCCTATGAGCTATGTCGCCATTAAATAGCATCTCCCCGTCAGGGAATTGAACCCAGGTCTCCCGCATGAGATGAGGAGATACTCACCACTATACTAACTAAGGATCATTAACTAATGAATTTTAACTTTCAACAGGCAGCCCCTTGGAGGCGCCAAGTATGTGGTTCCTCTGGGACTCAAACCGAGAAATCGTCGTCTCTGTTTGCAGGGTAGCACAAGGTAGGTGTGCTAACAGCTACACTATGTAACTAAAAAAATTAATGTGAGTGTTTGCAGCCAACAAATAAATACGAGGTTGCAATTCACAGCTTGGCACACGGGAGGCGATGTGTGGTGCCTCTGGGAAGCATTCTCCGGTTGCTGCTTGAGATCAGGAATGCTAACCACTACATAAGAAACCACAAAAAAAACAAAAACAAAGCTACTACTTTTACCAATCCCGCAAAGTCACACACTTTTCAGCACAGCGCTCCTCCTGGCAGATCGCTTATCTTATCAAACTTGATCAGTGCTATGCTATATGTGTTGCTTTCACTGTTATCTATATTGGAAATCCTCACATATCTTTGTTTTGTGGCCACAGCGTTTATCAAAAATGTCCTGTATATAAAAGAACAATCTTTGACTCCGGGAAGACAAATGGCCGACAGCCCCACTGATGTATCTGATGTGTAGCAGTCTCTAACTAACCTTTCGGTGGAAGTGTAATGAAGAGGGCAGCTTAGGAAAGACCCCTCAACCTCATACTGCTAAATCGGCAGCAAGGTGCGATGTTATCAAGCTGGGGATTGCATCTTTGTGACAGTCTGGGCCTGCGGTCAAGTTCAGCATTCTGAGAGCCAGTGCTGTCACTCACAGGTGCTTCTGCATGTCTTTCACACCTCTAAATACAGCCAGTGGTTTCCTCTGTCAAAACATACAAACATTTATGCAATTTGTTTACTTCAGGCGGATGGAAATATTATCAATTCTCTAAGTTCCTGACATTCCTAGCATACAGTTGTTTATTGTGTTTCATCAAGTGTTTGTGTAGATTACTACTTCTACAGCAGTGAAAATGTTCACCCCAATGATAAATAAAAGGCTAAAAACAGAAAACGGATGATTCATTACAGTCATACTTTTTTTTTTTTTGGGAAATGTTGAAGTATAAAATTTGAAGCGATTTCATAATTTATCTTTTGATCCTGAGGAAGAGGCCCTCAAACGGTTAGGCAACAGAGATGACATATTTATGTTATGTACAAGGGAGGTTTGTTTAAGTAGATAAGTAAAAATGTATAGCATGCACAGGTGTTTGTCTCCGTGTCCCTGTGCTGGCACGTTCTCTCGACTCCCTGCCTGATCTGGCAACCGGCCAAGCCAGAAAAACCCAGGTGAACTGCGGGAGGAGTTATTTATGGCCTTGTTATTGGTATCTCTCTGCTGAGTTGCTCAATATTAATAGCCAATGTTTCCCTTCGTGGCTACGTGTGAGAGAGCAGGAGGGACAGAAATATGATCTCTCAGTCTAATGTAAAATACAAATCACATCAAAAAAAGTCTCCCCACGACTGATTACTCGGAGGTCAGAAATGTGAGAGTCAGAAGAGATTAGTCGACAGATCCTTGTTGCCAAGTCTGCTTATTATGACAACTTTAACTGTTTCTTTGTACATTTGTTTTAAGACAGAGGTGTCAAACAAAACCGGCCCACTAGGGGGTTCAGTCCGGCCCACCATTATGTACTCATGAGTAGCAAATGACTATTGCTATAATATTATATTGTCATTATTGTTAACCCATATGCTCAGATCTAAAAAAATATTTAAAATTATTAACATTTTCCTTCATCTTCAATACTCTGTACAGAACTACATAAGTTTGGCTTTTTGTTGTTTCCATTGTTCTCTACAATGTTCTATCTTGGCATGCATGTTGGAGAGACTTTCCCTGCACATGTTGACCTGATAAAAATCCCGATACAAGTACAGATACCTAAAAGTCAACTTCAGTACAGTGAAATGTCATTTGTACTTGGTGAGACTTCAAAAGGATTCGTGGGTTTCATCGCCCTCACTGTCA